CTCCGTCCCCCCTCCTCCTCCTCCTCCTCCTCCTCCTTCTTAATCGTCATCATCACCCTCATCCACATCTTGCATCACAAGCAGTCTCTCCTCTCCTACATTCGCTTCCCCCCCCTCTTCCTACCCCCCTCCAACACCTTGGGAAGTCCTCGTCGACTCCCGTCACTCGCTTTTTACCGGTGTCTCTCGCTTTCAGCCTTATGATTTCTCGTCTCGCTTGAGAATATCACCCTTCACCGACAAAAAAAAAAACAACAACAATTCTTCCAAGTCTATTCTCTGATTCGTCTTACGAGGACTTCTGTAGACTTCCTTCGCTTACGTCGTACAGCAAGGAAATAGAGAATACTTCATCCCATATTGCACAGACACACACACACGCACACACACACACACACAGGAAGCTTGGCCACCACAAAAAACAACAACAACGACAACAACAACAACAACAACGACGACGACGATAACAACAACGACAACACGGTCGCTACGGAAAGAAAAAGAGGAAAACCCTCTAGGAAGGAACAATAGAAAGAAAGAAAGAAAGGAAGAAAGAGGACGACAGTTGCTCAAAGAGGAATACATCGACCACCGGAAGAGACCCCGCCAGCCCGATTCTCACGGATCTACCTCCAGCTCGCCCCCCTCTCTGGCCTTTCAGAAGCAGCTGCATCCATTCTACATTCGCTTACCAAGATCGCCTCTACTACTTCACCGCACACGGGTCGTTTCCGTCGTGCTTCTTTCCACGTACGTCATAATCTAATGGTGTGAACAAAGAACAAGACACCAGCCCCAAGAGAGAGATAGACAGCATGCTGACACACGACTTAACAGGACTTTCGCTTAAAAAACTCTTGTTTTTTCTACTACTTTTTTTTTTCTCTTCTAATCAGACATAATGGCTGGCCCAGGTGGCGGTCCTCCCCGTCGGAGGTTTGTGAACCCATCTCACCCCCGATTCTCATATTGCTGGAACTCGCTGGCTAACTTTTGATGACGGATCAGCCACACCAAGTCCCGCAAGGGTTGTGAAACTTGGTATGTTACGAGGAATACTCTGTTACGGACAGACAGGGATACTTGCCTGTCGACTGTCGGAGCCGAAGAAGAAGAGCAGTAGCTGACTTGAGAACCCCTCTTCCCACAGCAAGAAGCGTCACATCCGCTGTGATGAGAGCTTCCCTCAATGGTGAGTCGAGAACATCGGCGAAATGAGCCGCTGAGGCCCTGGAGGGAGCTGTGTTCCCTGCTTCAGCTGACAGAGGCTAACCGAGCCGTCTCCAGCCGCAACTGTACCAAGCACAAAATCCGCTGCCCTTACAACGACGTCTCCGCTGCCGACGCCAACCGCTCCACCACGCCCGACAAGCCCGATCTTATGTGGACGCCCGACGTCGAGGCCGCCATCACCGAGTGGCAGTGCACCGGCATATTCCCCTTCCCCTCCCTCAACGTGTACCCTGCTCCTGCCGCGAGCCACTACTCTGTTGAGGACCTGAGGTTGATCTACCACATTGCCGCTCTGTACCACCAGCTTGCTCAGATGGATGCCAACAACTTCACCCTCTGGACCCGTCACATTCCGACGTAAGTTCTACCTGTCTCAGCCACTCTGACTCATCCCTCGTTGCCCTGTAAAAGCTGACGTGCACACTCCCGGCAGCCTCCTGAGGATCGGTGCCACGACTCCCTACGTCATGCACGCCCTCCTCGCCTTCTCTGCCATGCACATTGCCTTCCTCACCGACTGCCCGCTGGTCGGTGGCATGGCTTTCGAGCACCGCGGAATCGCCCTCAGCGGCCTGCACGAGGCTATCGGCATCTTCTCTCGTGAGAACTCGGATGCCGTGCTGGCAGCGTCTCTCGTCCTGTCCTGGCAGGCTACCGACTGGTAAGCCATCTCTTCTCTCCATGCTCCGCTCTCCGTGTATGAACCGGCTCGCCGGCCGCGTGTGGATGAATGCACGGGGGTGACTGACGCAGATGCCCCAAAACGCAGGCCCAGCTGGACGCAACTCATGCAGGGCACCTCCACCGTTATGGACGCCATGGAGTCCTGGAAGCACGAGTCCCAGTTTGTCGACTTCATCGCCGAGAGCAGCACCTTCCCCACGGCTCCCTCGTCGCCTGGCCCCGACCACCGTCCCAGCCAGCCTCGCAAGGAGGATATCGAAGCCTTCCAGCGAACCCTGGAGCAGATCCAGCGGGTCGAGGCTCACCTCAAGCACCAGACCGATGCCGGCTCCCGCGTGGACACGGCCCAGATCCAGAACCTGGCCAGCTTCCTCAAGGGCTCGCGCAAGATCAGCCCCACCCTGCCCATCTCGCAGCAGTTTGAGCGCCTCAGGTCCCTTCGAGACTGGCTCTTCTGGATGCCGGTCGGCTACCTCCAGAACTACCGCTGCTCGCCCAACTCGCTCGTCGCCATCGCGCACCTGTACACGGTGGCTCTGCTGATGGAGCGCATGTTCCCCGAGATCGGCGCCGCCTACTTTGGAAGTCTGTCCCTGGTGCCCATCGAGGAGATTGCCCGCCGCCTGATGTCGTACTGCGTGTCTGTCGGGTCCGATGTCGAGTCCAGCGCGCCCCTGAAGCTGATGGACTTCCCCATCGACGCCGTCGGCGAGTTCCGCTCCCGCATGGGCTGGGTCCAGCCGGAGAGGACGAGGTCGTTCCCGCAGTTCAACCCGCCCAACTTCCCCGTCTACGAGGAGCCCCCGCACTACGAGGAGCTGCCGCACCACCACCCGTACTCGCTCTACGGCAACCCGTCCTTCAGCTACAGCGCCGAGGAGATGCCGGTGCTCAACGACTCGGTACCGCCCGGCCAGAGCCCCGTCCCGCCCGTGGCCCTGTCGCCCTATCCGGGTCAGCAGTACCTGAACATCCCGTCGCCCATGTACCGCAGCGCCTACAGCCCCGCCTCGTCGACGTTTGAGGGTTCCGTCACGTACAGCGACAACGAGGACTACGGCACTTGGGAGCTCGGCCCGCCGATGCCCGCCCAGCAGCAGCAGCAGCAGCCGCAGCAGCCGTACACTCCGCAGCCGCAGCATTCTCCCATGTTCAGTGACGCCCATCACACCTTTGGCCCCGGGTTCGTCTCTCCCACCGCTCAGCCCGTGTGGATCTAGAACAAACACGTCGGCGAAATCCAGCGAGAAGAAAATGAAAGCACAGAAAAAAAAAAAAAGAGGAACAGGGGATTGACCGTTGCCGCGTTCAGGAAACCATCAACTTCGTCGACGACACCACCGACCTACCAGCTACCACCCGGGGACCATGGCCAGTACGCTACATATCCATCTTCCTCTGGACACCCGCCGTCGCCGTACCTGAGCAGCAACAACCCGGAGATGACGGGGATGCTACCCCTCCCAGAGTCGCCCGTCGCCTCCAACAGCAGCATGCCCCGGCCGTGGCACCGACAGACCGCGTCGCTTTCCTCTGGTCCGCATCCGCCGTCGCCCCTAGGACAATCAGCGCTGTATCGATCGCCCGATCGACAGGGCATGCTCCACACACCAGACCGCAAGGGCAAGGGAAAGGATACATCATAGCGGTGTCTCTTCCTCTCCTTGTCTTCTCTTCTCGTCTTCACTTCACTACTGTTTTTCCTCGTCGGTTCTCTCTTCGACTTGACTTCTCGTCTCTATCTTCTCGGGCGTTTTTCTTGTTCTTCTTCTTCCTACTGCTTGAATTGGTTTCTTTTCTCCTTGCAGCCGCCTCCCGACACAGACGCCATGTATACCTACATTCCTTCTTCGCTCGCTACCGCCACTCTGTTCCTCTTGCCGAGTTGATCTCGATCTGCAACACTGTTTATTCGGGCACCAGTATTCCGATGCACACACAAAACGGATACACCCGACACTAATACATAATACCGACACAAGCACTCAAACCCCCACTCCTTACGATGGTCACGCGGAGCAAAGACTCTCCGTCTCTGCGAGACACGCTTGTCTCCGCGAGGCGCTGTTGTCTCAGCGAGACGACACTGACCCTTTTCTTTTCATGATTTTCCATCTGGGCAAAAAAACCTCTCCTTTCTTTTTCTCTTTCACGACCCCTTTACGAGACTGGCATAGAACACTCCTTTTTTTTTTTCGAACAACATATTCCTATTCACCTCCTCAGAAGAATGTGAAGGAAGCGTTGTTTCTGTTTTTGATTTTGAGACATGGGCAACCAACTGCATAGCGACTTTCTGTTGAGAACAAAAATACGTGTCGTCTGGCATGCATGTACGAGCAAGGCGTTTGTTTTGTTTTGGAATTGTTGAAATTTATAATCTTTATCTGGATATTTGGAGTTTCGTCTTGTTTTGCTTTTTGCTGTTTGCCTGATCAGTACATTGCGGAGAAGTGGAAAATAATGATGGTCCGATATATTCGTTTTTCGAAGGTATTGACGGGGAAGATGACGGTTTCAATGGTGAACTGTAGTTATTTGTGTGTGTACCTCTTGATGTGTGCGTGTGCGTGCGTGTATGTGCAATGCTTGCATGGTGACTGCATTGAACCACCGGGTGCGCATCATGTTCAGAGGTTAAAGGTAGGGAGGGGGCCGGGGGTTGGAAGTTGGAAAGTTACCGGTACACACTGGGAGAAATGTAGGGATTACTCATTTAGAGTAAAGATGGTATGGAGTAGCGAGTGTGCAGACAAGAGTACAGACAGAGCATAGACCGAGTGTGGCCAATGTAACGTGTTGACATGACACGTTACATTGGCCACACGGTCTATGCTCAGTCTTGTCGGTAGAGGAGGAGGAAATATAAAATAGAATTTCCATTCTAGCACCTGTGTGATTGTGTTACTATCTACGCGGGTTATTGGAGGGAAAAAAAAAACAGACATGCCGGAATTACAGTGCAACCAACGTATTATACAGCATTGCAAGAAGAGTACGTACAAGTCGGAACATTCTAGTTTTGATAAAAAGAGATTATTACTAATCACACCGTATTAGTAATACACCATACACAAGTCTCATCAATTCAAGTATAAAGGGTTGCACCAGTAAAAGACGAGAGAGAAGAGAATAAAAGAAAAAGAAGAAAAAAAGAAGAAAAAAAGCACACAAGTCCATGACGTCCCGTGAGTAATACAAAAAAAAAGAAATTGATGTTGCTGTAACTCGTACATGATGGAATGGATGCATAGACGGAGATGTAAAAAGGAGAAGGAAGAAGAAAAAAAAAAAACGCCCCCAACACCCCCGTCACCAGGATAGGATTCAGCCAGATTTGACAGACCTGACAGGACAGATCTGAAGCACGAAGAAAGGTATAGACACAAAAAAGGAGACGGAGAGTCTGGCCAGACAGAGATGGAGACATCACAGAGAGCAGGACCGGTGAATTAATAAAATAAAATAAACCGGGCAGGTGATGAGAAGAGAAAAGAAAGAAGGACATATATATGGAAGATGCTTCGTTGCAGGGACGTGACGCAAAGAAGCAAGGAAAGCAAAAAAAAGAAAGAAAAAAAGAAGAAAGAAAAAAGAAAACAATCCACACACACATACACACATACACACACACACGCAAGACGCAGAGCAAAACACGCAAGACAAAGGACAAGACAGAGAGAAGAAAATAAATCAATGCCATGTTACTGCTTAGCAGCTGGGCTGGGGTATAATGACGGTTTGTTTTTAAAAAATCAAGTCTCGGTATCGTGTGATTCTGATGGTGAATCTTGGACGGTGGCAGCTTCGACTGGGGATGCCTCATCCGCAGGAGACACCCGAAATGCCTCATCAGCAGGAGACGCCCGAGATGATGCCCGAGACTGAGAGGAACCCGACCAAGACCCAGACCCAGACCCAGACCCAAACCCAGACCCCGACCTCGACCCCGACCCCGACCCAGACTGACCTCTCCTCTGACTGATGTGATGACCAGCCCCCTGCCTCATGGCGTCAAAGTAACTAGGTACCGGCTCGTCAGGAGCGGGCACGAGCTGGCTCTGGCTGCGCTGTCGGTTCCGGGCCGAGATGACCGACGCCCGCCGGGACGGGGGCGGGATGACGGTGGCCGCCGAGTCCCCCCTGTTGCGGTTGGCCACCTGCACGAGCGGTCTGTCGTCGTCCGTGTCCGAGTCCACGACGACGGTACTGCTCCTCATCCGTCGCCTCCTCTGGCCGTGGGGTCCGCTGGCCGTGAAGAAGGCGCTGTTGGCGTCGTCCTCGGTCGGGCTGGCGTAGCCCGGCGGCGGGTTGGTGGCGTCCTCGAGGTGCAGGCGCAGGGGGTTCTCGTCCTCCCGGCCGTCCCGGCCGTCCCGGCCGTCGGGGCCGTCGGGGTGGGAGATGGAGCTGGGCTCGCCGCTCTCCTCGGTCGGGACCAGATGGGCCAATGAGATGTCTGTGGGGCTGCGCACCGGCCCGGGGCTCGTGGGCGGCAGGATGCGGAAGTGGTTGCCGCTTCGGGTGCGGCCGTGGGTGCGCGACGGGGCGTTGAGGCTGCTGCCGTTGGTACTGCCGTGGTCGGCGTGGGGGTTGTGATGGCGGACGCTGTACGAGGTTCCGGTCACGGACTGGCTGTGCGGACGGCCGGCCGTGCCGGGGGCGCTGCTGCCGCCGACGAAGCCGTCCTTGTTGCCCGTCTCGAGGAGGATGCTACCCTGCTCCGAGCCGTAGGGGGGAGGCGGCGCCAGGCTGCCGGTGACGGGGGCCAGCCCCCACTTCTTGACGTTGGCCTCGATGAAGACGAAGCCGGCCTGGCCAAAGTTGACGTGCACCGTCGCCGGGCCGATGGCGCCGACAGCGGGGAAGAAGTTCGGGCCCTTGAGGCCGTGCACGACCTCCTCCAGGCGCTTGCCGTTGCGGGTGAAGAAGATGGCGCCCGTGCGAGGGCGGTATCCCACACCGATGACGTCTCCCTGGACGTAGGCCGGGCCGTAGGGGAGGTCGGAAAAGGGCTGGTTGTACCGGCGGTGGCCGGTGGACTGGTAGGCGGCCGAGTATTTGTGGAAGCCTAGAAGGATGTCAGCAGGTGGTATTCCAGAGGCAAGACGGTGCGGCGTTCCTCTCCCCACCACCAGCGCTCGACAGGACAGGTGCTCGATGAGGGGACAGGATGATGGAAGACCCACCTGGCAGCCGAAACAGCGGATAAGGCTTGGTGGCCATGCCGATGCTGAGCAGCGTCGTCTCAGGCTTGTCGTAGATCTTGGCCTCCCAGTAGTAGACGTCGTTCTGCTTGGGAACGGGCAGGTTTGTGAGGACGGTGCACTCGGAGTCGAAGAATTCAATCTCGGTACGTGCCTCGACGAAGCAGTTTGCGATCTCGAGCTCGGGCTCAAACTCCCAGGCCGAGACGCCCTTCTCCTGTATGGCCAGGTACTGGGAGAGGGAGATTTCCGTCTGCAGAGATTCGGGGGGATTTGCGGTGACGAAGGCTGTTTGATCACGGAGGTTTGTTAGTCGGCACCTGATCGATACGGAAACGATGAGATACGAAGAGAGAGAGAGAGAGAGAGGGAGAGGAGGGTAGGGAAGCATACCCTTTGCCCGTAGGTACTCGGCCCTCGCCATCTCGTCCATGGTCTCGAGGGCCTCGGCCTCATCCCTGGCAAAGGCCTGCTCGTCATCGTACTCGCCCGGACGACCTATGCGGTCGAGCAGGATCCTCCCGCCACCCGAGCATCCCGAGATCCAGAAGACGAAGATGAGTAGGGCGATGAGTATGATGGAGCCAAAGGATGAGACGAGTCCGATGATGACGCCTGTAAAGGCCGATGGCGGCGAGGTGGAGGAGAATGTTGACGATAGTAGGATAGCCATGGTTTCGGATCGGTTCACTCCGTCTGTCCTCCTTGACTATTTCCTAAGAGAAGAAGGAAATGATGGATGAGAGGAGGAAAACCCCAACCTGTTCGTCCCTTGAACAGACGGCGTCACCGCCGCGACAGAGGGTGCGAGGATGTATATATATATATTCTTCTTGGTGTATTTTTGCCGGTTCCTCTCGTAGCTTATCGGACAAGAGAGAGGAGCTTCGTCGGAAAGTGTCGTGTCGTTCCGTGCCGCGCAAGGAAGGCGACGATTGAAGATGCTGAGGGAGAGAGAGAGGGAGAGAGAGACGAAGAAGGGAAGGGGGATTTATCCTTCGATGCCGTGGTCGTGCGTGTGTGTGTGCGCGCGTGTGTTTCAGAGAGGCATGGGGTGTGATGTCGAGTCGCAGGTTTGCGGGATCGACGGGCACATTCAAGACGGGGCAGTCGTGTAGGCGTCGACTCGGGAGTGCGTTCTAGCGAAGAGAGTACATATGAAGAGATCAGTACTACCTCTCGGGGAATATCAGAAGGCGATGCCGGTGTGTCGCTGAATATATGAAAAACCACCGAGGAGTGATGGTGTGTTGAGAGATATTGGGCGAGACGAGAAGAGAGAGTGACGAAGACGAAGGCGGCGGTGGAGGGGGGGGGGGGGGGGGGGGGGGGGGGACAGTGGAAAACAGTGGGTAGGCAGTTGGTTGATGAGTGGAGGAGAGAGGAGAGGTCCGACTCTCCCTGGCCTTGGCCTGAGCCTCTGAGCATTAATAAATACTCAGCAGTGAGCAGCCCCAGTGTACGTTACTCCGTACATGTACATGCTATCAATCCACAGTTCCAGCTAAGCGGCCCAAGCCTCAGTGTCTGCTTCTCCGGCGCCCTCTTTCTTCAGTGGAGAACATCTCTCCTCTCACCTGTCCACTGAGAGTCCCGCTGAGAGTCCGGGCCCGTACCCAGCTACGGCCCAATAGGCTACAGCACATACAGTGAGCGATACGTGCTGTGATGTAGGTGATCACTGACGGTGATGGTCCCGCTGATGGTCCCACTGGTAGTGTCCATCCCACCCCGGCTGATGCGCCCATGCCCGTTCTCACCAGCGTTACAGAGTTTCCTGTCAGGTAGCCTGAGGTAGGTCATGTCAGTATCATCTCACGCCCGGGATCCATCACCGTCAATCCGTCCAGACAGACTCTACGAAGCAGGCATAGATACGAGCTGATAATGCAGACTGCTCGGGTGGTAATGCTAGTAGCAGCTCGATACGAAGTACCATACCACCCAAGTACTTCTTCGCAAGCGCCTCTTCTCCCTGAACAAGTCCATCGTCATCCCTCTGAGAGGCTGACCCGGATTCTCTCCCTGTACGATAGTCTATAGATGACGCCCCGTTAATATTCCCCTCCGAGACATGTTCTACTAATTTTCATTGCCAATTCCAATTTATTGTCAGATAAAAAGTGTGCTCATTATTCAGTTAATCTACACTACCATGTTCAGATAATCAAGCAACCCGATCTCAATAAACCTGCCAAAGACCAATAAAAGAAAGAGGGAAAAAAAAAAGGGGGTGGGGGGGGGGGGGGGRAAAAAAAAAAAAAAAAAAGGGGGGGGGGGGGGGGGGGGGGGGAAGAAAAGAAGAAAAGAAAGGGAAGGGGAAATGTGCCATGTACCGTCATCTTCAAAGTCGTCCCTGAGTCAGGGTCCCATCGTCACCTGTCTTAATCGACATCCTCATCCTCCCCCCTCCCCCTGCTATACCCCCCCCTCCTAGCCCTCCTCTCCTCCCTCTCCCTCTGCCTCTGAGCCCTGAGCTCCGGCATGGGATGATGGTAGCTCTTGGTGCCGAGGTCGCTGGTACCCGCGTTCGAGCTCTCGAGGAGGGACTCGGACAGCGCGCTCTCGGCTGCCTCGGGACCGGTCTGGAAGCTGAACTCCCTACGCACCGTCCCGGCCGGCGCGGCAGCAGCGGTGAGCGCCGCCTTCCCCGCGCCCTCGGGGCTCCTGGCCCTGCTCGCGGCCCTGCCGGTGGCGCGTCCGCCGCCCTTGGACGATTCGGCCCTGCGGTGACGGCGCTCCCTCCTCTCGGCCTTGCTCGCCTCTTCCCTCCTCTTCTGGTCGGCGGCAGCCTCCCTCTCCCTGGCGGCGGACCTGGTCTTGGACTCCTCGCGACGTCTGTGCTCCCTGCGACGCTGCTCGCGCGCCTCGTTGCGCAGCCTCTCGGCCTCGACGCGCTCCGTGGTGGAGTAGACCTTGCGGATGCCGCTCTTGGTGGGCGTGTCCTGCTTGTTGAGGAGGAGGGAGTCCGACGCGTGGGAGCCGGAGACGACCGAGTCGGTGGGGTTGGTGTGCGTCGTCGTCGAGCCGTCCCACTGGGAGCCCTCGGCGTCCTTGTTGATGCCGCCGACGCGCGCCGCCCGCTCGTGCCGGTAGCTGCGGAGCTCCTTCTTGGCCTCGCGCTCGGCCTCGTCGTCCTCGACGCCCTCGTCGCCCACGTACCGGCCCGAGCGCGGCTGCTTCTCCTTCTCGCGGCGGCTCTTGTCCTCGGCCCTGCGCCGCTTCTCGCGCTCGCGCATCTCCTTCCTGCGCTTCCGCGCCTCCCGCTTGTCCGGCTCCGACGGCCCGGCCGTGATGCCCGTTATGGCCGTCGTCGCCGTCATGACCGTGCGCCCCTCGTCGTCCTGGTACGTGTGCCGGTTGTACCGCTCGCTCGTGTCGTAGTCATCTCCTCCCCCCTCCTCCTCCACGTCGTGATCGGCCACGTCGCGGTATGCGCTGCCGCCGCCCAGATCCGTCGTCGGGGTCGCGCCGGACAGGAGCGTTCCGTTGGGCCCCTTGCGCCGCAGCACCGTCGACTTGTATTCGTCCCAGTCCGTCTCCTTGAAGTGGAAGCCGCCGTTCTTCGCCCAGAAGAAGAACCAGATGCCCGTCAGCACGAACCCCAGCCCGATCAGCGCGAACAGCACGAAGAAGCCGACGTTGTTGATGTCGTGCGGGTCCAGCACTCCCTTGCTCGGGTCCGGCCCCTCGTAGTCGTCTCGACGTGCCAGGCTGACCGACGAGAAGAGGTGTGCGCTCTCCGCCAGCGGTCCTGCCGGTGACCCGAGTCGACTGGACGCCTCGCGGGATCGGGCCGTCAGCATCTCCCATAGTGATGAGCCGCGGAGCGTCGGCGCCATGGTTGCCGGTTCTGTCGCTGTGATTCAGCAACTGGAAGGCGGGCGGGCGGGGGGTGCCCACAGGCCGGATAAGGCTTTGGGTGGAATGTCTCTTGTGTCGTGTCTGGTATGTCAAGACGTTGGAATCCTTGTCGGTGCGTGTGTATATATATACACGCCAAAATCAGGTTTCATACAGAGCGCTTGGATTGAAATACGCACACGCAGAAACGCTGCGATATTGGACAGAGAGAAAGGAAGGTGAGGGATCGAAGAAGAAGAGAGGAGGTAAGAACGGTGTACTCGTAATGAGGAAAAGAGAGGTGAGAGAAGAGGTGGGCTGCACTGCACTGCACTGCCAGCACAGCTTCTGCTCGTTTCCACGGAAACAGAATGGCTGGGGTGCCAGTGATGCCACAGGTTCCAACCAGCGCGTCATCTACGAGTACACGTACTCCGTCTCACTTTACCTGTACACACGTCCACCATGTGGACGATTGGCAAGATGTCAGACAAACGAGTGTCTTTCTCTACATTCGCACAATTTCCTCTCCATACTATCTCAACCACCCTCTGTCTTGTCCTCTCGTGCGTCTGTCTTGCAGAGGCATCGTGAACATCCAGGATAGTTGCTATTAATAAGCATGCACGAGCACAGATCCTGCACTCACTGCATATCAGAGTAAATAAAAACCCCGTTGACCTGGTAACAGCTCTGCCACATCATCCCCACAATTGTATGCAACCACTTACATCTTCTGATCGTCACCAGCCTCATCCTCCTTGACAGTCACAGTCAGACGTACGAGTGTACGATGAAAAGATATTCACGTCACAGGCACTGGAAGACATACATCCACATTCACTCAGCCATCGCCTTTTTTTTTCTTCTGGTACGAACAGACACGGAGGGAGAGAAGAGAAGAAAGCAGGGTGTGCACCGCCTCATCATCCGATTAACACCATCTGGCCTATCTGTATATCTGTATATCTGCGCGTGCCATCACCAGAGAATTAGCAATTTATGCCATCTCACCCTTCCCTATCCAACCTCCTCCCATGGCAGCCAGAAAACAAGGCAGACAAGATTTCTCTCTCTCAGGGGGCGTGAACCCTCCACACTTTTTCTTCGATACAGTCTAACTTGATTGGTGGCGGGAATACTACCCAAGAACACACAAAAGAAAAAAGAGCAGACAAGCAGATGGCCAGAACAAAGACAGTAGTAGAGAAAAGAAAAACAAGTCGAGGGGAAAAAAAAGCACAGACCTCTTCCTTCCCACAACCGTGTTCCACGTACTAGGAGGGGGACCACCAGGGCCCCCAACTCTTCGTGGCGTTGCCTTGCCCAGCGCTGTCCGCCCGAGGAGGATGGAGGATGGCCAGGCAAGAAGGGGAACAGAGAGGCCAGAGAAATAAAACAGCCTCTTCCTTAACAAGGCCACCAACTTTTGAGGGGGGGTATCTCTTCTCTCTCTCCGACATCCATGCCCCAGTCCGCGACACAAGAAAAAATCATTATGGACCCGAGCATCTAGCATGGTACACCGTAAGAAAGAATTTTGGAAGCAAAAGAAAGCCGCCCGGTGTACAGAAAAAACCCAAGACATGCGTCGGTCGAGTGACCCCAGGAAGTAAACAAGAAGAGTGTGCAATCCGTAGCGAGACGAAATAGCAAAACGGGGTGTTGACGCACAAAGAAAAGACGTACAGAACGTTTGGAAAAGAGCTCGCTGCTGTGATAATCCCCACGTCCAAAATGAAACGGGGATGACAAGAAACGCATATCCAGAACAAGAGGAAGAAGGAACAAAGCAATAGCCAAGATAGAGAAGGGCAACAAAAAAAAAAGGTCGTAGCCAAGAAAAGAAAAGAAGAGAAATAAAACAAAAGTCGTCATCATCATCGTATATCACATGTCGTCCTCATCATCAGATATAGCTGGCGTGCGAGGGGAGGCCCCCGTCATAAGGTTCATAGGGCGCATATCCAGGAAGGTAACCCCGACTCTGCGAGTCACCCTGGCTGGGAGCCCTGGGTCGGTGCGGGAGGGCCTTGCGTTCACGGTGAAGGCTTCGGTCGTCCTCGAGCTCATACAGGGCGCTGCCGCCATCCAGGTCGCCAGCGCGGGTTGCCATGCCGTTGGAGAAGGTGATCTCGCTGTTCTCGCACTGGATCTCGGCACCGTTAACGCGGACAACAGCGGCACCCGAAACCTTGATGGTGAAGTCGTCGTTGTTGCCGTTGGATGATCGCGTCAGTCCCGTCGTGTTGCTGCGCTTGTATTCGCTGTCGTCGCGGCTGGCACTGCTCCGGGTCGAACGGCTGCTGGCGACGCCCTCGCCGCGCTTGTTAGCCTTGCGAAGACTCTCGGCAGTGAGGGGCATTTGTGGACCGCCGCTGACGTCCTCCTGGTATCGCACCGCATCCATGTATTTGTTCTCCTCGGTGAGGCTTACGCCGCCGGTCCCGAGAGCGGCCCCGCCGTACGTGCTACCACGGCGGCTGCGGCGACGGGCCAGGGGCTGACTGTCGTGGTCGTCGTCGTCGTAGACGGCAAAGGAGCCGCGCTGAGGTCGGTGAACGGAGCGACGCCTCTGGTGGTATGAGGGCTCGGGGGAGTCATGGAACAGGTCCTCGTGCGTCAGCAGGTTGTCCTCGTCGTCGTCGTCATCCTCGTCGTCTTCCTCGTCGAGCAGATCTGGGTCAGTAAAGCCAACAGATCGCCTGTGGGACGGAGGGGGGGGTCGGGTCTGATGGCGGGAGCTGGGGCGCTGTGGCGGGGGCTGGAAGGGTGTGACCGTGTTAGCCGTGGTGCTGGGGCGCCTGGGCATGGATGGGATCCTCTGGGGCTTCAGGTCGGGCGGGGGCATCCGCTTGCGGTCATCGTCCTTCTGCTGCCTCTGGGTGCGAGACGGCCGTCTTTGGTGACCGCCACCGCCGCCGCCAGTACTACCATAGGGTGCTTCCTCGGGGTAGTCGGGGTAGTCGGGGTAGTCGTCGTGGCGGTAGCTGCGAGACGCCGTGCTCGAGTAGCCCATGGCAGACGAAGGTCTGGGCTCGAAGCGCTGCCTCAGGTCGCGAGTCACCGGGGGCGGTCCTTGGGGCGGAGGGGGGGCCATCTCGTAGAAGCCTGGGCCACCGGGTGACCCTGAGAGCATGCCACCGTGCATGGCGGCTGCCATGTGTGCGCCGCCCAGCATGGGTGATTGCGAATACGGTGACTGCGAGTACTCAAAGTCGTACGGGCCAGGTCCCGAAGAGGGGAAGAGCGGTGGGGGGCCCATAGGGCTAGCAGCCCAGCCACCGGTAACGGGTGGCAGAGGTCCCATCTGGCCATCATAGTGGTTAGCCGGCCTGGAGGCGGCCCTCGGACGGCTCCTCGACGGAGCCCTCTGGGGAGGAGGTCCTCCATAGACACCCGGTGCGTCGGCATGGGGCCTCCTGTAGGGCGGCGGCTGCTGGACAGCGGGCTGGGTGTTGGCATGCCTGAGAGACTGGGGACGGCTGTTCTTGAGGGCCTTGGCGCTGTCCCTATCCGCCTTGGCCTCGGCGCGCATACGCCTGGCGGCAGATTCGGAATCGCGCCTCTCGTGATGGGCTATTTCCCGGCCTTGGTCCCTGTAGGGCCTGGGGTCCCTCTCCTTGCGGGATTCACCTCTCTCCTTGGTTCCTCTGGGCGGGGAATTCGGGCCCTCGCCTCTCCTGTACTTTCCAGTGTTGGGGCGTTCCTTGGGTGGAGAAGGCTGGTCCTCGGACAAGGCGTAGACTCGGGTGCCAGCCCGAATCTCGACGGAGCTACCAGAGTCTTCGTCGGCTTCCTCCATGAAGGCCACAGTGGGGGCGCGAGAAGATCGAGTCATGGTTGATGCCAGCTATTATTCCTCGTGAGTCCTTTTTTTTCCTTGACCGCTTGGAGTGTGAAATGGTGTTCCGAGTGCTGGGCAAAAGGAAGAAGTAAAAAATTGTCGACAACCCCTTCCGGTGGGTGAAGGTGTGTTTTATAAGAGGCTTGTCAGCCCCAGTTGGGGGTGGGAGTTAGCCGCTCTAAGGCGGGCAAAACCGATTGCAGTTGTGCTCCAGCTCGATTATCTTGGTGCGCAGGAATGCCACGGGCGGCCCAAGAGAGTTTTTGACTTTCGGGTAGCACGCGGGGCGGTCCTTGCGGGAAGTGGAGATGATATCCGACGAGACCAGGTCAGAGCGATGGAGGCGGCGTCTAGGTTTGGGCGGAACGTCGGATTGTAGGCTTTTCGGATGGAATAATCGTCGCAGTCGTTGTGGGTGTAATGAAGATGGATAAAATGGCCGCATAGGATGTGAGCTTTGAGGATGGTAAGAAAAATCACAGAGTAAAAACAAGAGAGATGCGTCGTCAAAGGCTAGATTCCAGTAATGTATGCGAGAAAATGCGAGAAATGCGAGAAATGTGTCGTTGTGCGTGGCGGTCGTTGTGCTTGGTGCGAAAGTGGGAGGGGAAAAAAAAGAGAAGAGAGGAAAAGATGGGAGGATTTCTGGGGGAGACTTTTGTATGAATTACCTGTCGAAGGAGGAATAAAAGGGAAAAAAGGGACCGACAAGGGGG